AGATATACTCCTTATACTTATAGTCTCAATAAATCAATTTTGCTATGAATACAGTTAAGTGCGCAATCTAATAACATTTGAATACAAAAGACATTCCAAGTACGGAAATAATCATGTTAAGTGTTCGTACACTATATTTACAGTGACTCGCATTAATATTCGGACACCATATTGTTAGAAGAATTATTGCTTCTTTTTATTGTTTAAGATAGCATTATTGAATCAATTGTTTTCTCATATAATAAAGCACTTCTTAAAGTAAGTAGAAACATAAATTTTGTTTATTTATTCCACATGGTTTTTTGTATAATAAGTGATAAACAAGATTGTGACAAAATCCTACGTCGCAAAAATATTCGGACAGTGAATGAATTACATTAATTTTATATGAAATGAAAACCTTTTTAATCATGTTATCATAATATTAATATTTTGTCGGTTGACCCTTTTGTTTTATTACTTCATGTAATCGCATGGGCATGTTACAGATGATTTTATTTAAATAATCCGGCGAAATCCGTTTCCATTCGTCTAACAAACGTTGTATTATCTCTATTGTTGTCTTCGTAGGTGTTGTAAGAATTTTTCGATCCAATTGATCCCATAAATTTTCAATTGGATTTAAATCAGGCGATTGAGGAGGAGGATGCAGTACTTCTGGACTATTGTATAATAAATATTCCTGTACAATTCTGGCCTTGTGTTAGGATCATTGTCCTGATAAAACTTAAAATTGTACGTATACCCATATTTATAGCACTTGTAATTACATTGTTTTTATCGATAGTATTATGGACAAAATGAAGTATTTGGGCATTTTTAAAAAAAAATTTAATTACAAGTGCTATAAATATGGGTATACGTACAGTTTTAAGTTTTATCAGGACAATGATCCTAAACACAAGGCCAGAATTGTACAGGAATATTTATTATACAATTGTCCAAAAGTACTGCATCCTCCTCCTCAATCGCCTGATTTAAATCCAATTGAAAATTTATGGGATCAATTGGATCGAAAAATTCGTACAACACCTACGAAGACAACAATAGAGATAATACAACGTTTGTTAGACGAATGGAAACGGATTTCGCCAGATTATTTAAATAAAATCATCTGTAACATGCCCAAGCAATTACTTGGAGTAATAAAACAAAAGGATCAACCGACAAAATATTAATATTATGATAACATGATTAAAAAGATTTTCATTTTATATAAAATTAATGTAATTCATTCACTGTCCGAATATTTTTGCGACATAGAATTTTGTCACAATCTTGTTTATCGCTTATTATACAAAAAACCATGTGGAATAAATAAACAAAATTTATGTTTCTACTTACTTTAAGAAGTGCTTTATTTATATGAGAAAACAATTGATTCAATAATACTAATTTAAACAATAAAAAGGAGCAATAATTCTTCTAACAATACGGTGTCCGAATATTAATGCGAGTCACTGTATGTGTTTCATATTTCGAATGTTAAAACATGAGAAACGAGCAGTTCATTCTTGTCTGTCTATTTTGTTCTAGTTTACCAGGAGCATCATTCCATCGCTTAATTTCCGGTGCCATATGAAGTTTAGGATTAGGCCTAATAGCAGATCGATGCGACTCTGAAAATCGTGTTCACAAATATGAAAATAACATTTGCCGCAGAAAATTAATGAGTAAAGTTTTATGTAAGTTTAGGCATCGATGCCTACAAAGTCTTGAAAAACTTTTACCGTGCAAGGTTCCTAGAAGTTAGGAAGAAGCTGACGACAAAATGCAGCAGCTGCTGATAAAAATTTAATTATTGAAGATGCCAAGTTGCCAATTTGACTTTCATTAAATCATTACGGGAAGAAATTATGTCTAACGTTACATTTTTTAGATACTTGATTTATTTACTTCTCCGTTATACATAACAATTTCTTATACAATTTTAATTAATTGCATCTCTCTCTTGGGTTTAACTCGAGCTTAATAAATATCTCAACATGTAGCTTAAAAGCTTCACGACTTAGGAGGAAAATTAAGAATATTGTTAATCAATGTCTCCATTGTTATCGCCTGTACAAAAATATGTAATTTATCTTACAAATTAACATAATTGTGAATGTTTAAATTGGAAATACTGTTTAATTTTCTTTCGGGTAATTTCTCTATAAAAAAAGTATAACAAGCAAATTATGAAATGAAGTAACCAATAACATAAGTGAAAATTTTATTGAGTTGATTTAAATATGAAAAAAAATTTAAGTGTCAATACAAAACGCCAGATTAGTACAACTTTAACCGTTCACGTTTCTCTTACGATGTACCAATGCCACCAATTACGAACAGTAAGTAATTAATATAAATTAACATAAAGAAAGGACAAAAGTGTTACACATTTTTGTGCTCGTAATAGTGTAGTAGTGTGTCTTTGGTTTGTTTTCGGACATAATTAACTTAATATTTTTTTAATAAGACGTATTAAACTCTTTTATTAAAAAATAAACATACAAAACATACAAAATTTTAATACGTTTTAACAAACCAAAGGCAGAACAATTGGTCAGTCCACAGTTACCGCGCTTCACTACCATAAAACAATAAGCGATGGAATATTATACCGGAATATTTCGGACAAATATAAACAATATAATTTCGACGTCAAACAGCAAAATGTTATAAAAGCTTTGTCAACATTTCCCAGTTTACCTTATCCTATTCAATATGAACAGATGCGTTTTATCCGCAATTCGGATGTGATATACATATAATCTGTTCGTACGTTTCTCAAAACGGAATCATAATTTTCTATTATGCCACGTGCAGCGTGTTTGCCTTTTTTAGCTATTTACTGTCGGCTAACGCGCATCTCTTAACACACGTAGCTGACATCCTTCACAAAAACGTCGAAAAGAGTTGGCAACTGCCTCAGAAACGAAACGCTAAATGGGTCGCAGTAATTAATGCGCACACCAATTCCGATTCTCTACTATTGCCATTAAGCGCATCTCGATCCTCGGAACAGTGCTGACATAAATCCTGAGCCCTGTGAGATCCATGAACCCTGGACAATCAGCACAATCCATTCTAGGCAGTCATGCCTTAATTA